CTTGGCTCCGATACCACTTGATGGAGTGTGTAAAGGTTTCACTCAAGGTACGTACAAACAAAAAACTTTCCTTACACAACTCAAAATTAGAAAACCCAAATTACAGCCACATATAACCTTACATATACCTCAAAAAAACAATTACATTCACTCCCAATGCATGTAAATGATTGCAACTTGATCCCAAGACAACTCCCACACAAAATAAGACAATGGAGATTGAGAAAAATTACATTAACATGACAATACATGGGACAACTCCAACTCAATCTCACCAAATACATACTTGAATTACATAAACTTTAAATACATGCCAAACTCAAACTCAATCTCCAAATACAACTCAATAAACCCAATGTGTGCACTTAATCTAAGAGAATGAGAAAACAATTGAATTAATCAATTCACCTAGTTCACATCCACGGATTTATATACACCCTTTGTTATGATCACTCCCATTAGTGCAAGTTAATAGATGAAATCTAATCATAATTGGGAAGCATGCACCATAAATAGTTAAATTACACGACGAGGGTGCCAAGATGTCACAGAAAAGTCAAGGAGGGCAAAGTGCACCATTTGTGGGATAGTAGAGAGAGATGGTGAGCGTATGAACAAATGAGAAAGATATATTATGTAGAGAAGCCCTAAGTGGTTCTCTTACTTTATCAAAGTTGAATTTAAAACTTAGTCTCTCTCTCTAAGTGTTATTGTCCACACACTTGATGTCATATCTCACACACTTGATGTCATAGCTCACACACTTGTAGCGATTAAAACCTTAATAAAGGCATTAAGATCTAAAATACTCTTGGACAATGATTACCAAAACAGTGAAAATATATAGAGTTTTATGGAAAACATGTGAAGACACACACATATAAACCCAATTAGACGTCTCTTGAATAAGCAACACAACCAAACACACAATTAGGGGTGCCAGCCTATGTAGGCCACATGTCACATCAACGTCATCTATGTGGAGTGATGTGGCAGTAATTTGGGGTCCACATGGCACCTATTGGCCACTTCAATGCCACTGCCCCACATGTGTGGCCTGTCCTCAATTGGCATTTGGTGTATACATGTCACACCCCGAGTTCACTAACATTCCTGAGGTGTGACATACTATTCCTATACGATATATGCATGCATAGAACAAATTCAAAATTCCTATTTGTATATTCGTATTGCACCGAATAGTGTAATTTTAATCTGTACAAAGTCTGCTTAAAACTGGTATTAACATGAAGGCTAGTTATGTACATTTTTTTTTTTTTTTTATACAGATACAAAATTACAATGGTGCCTTTGATCAAAAGTTACAAGGAAAAGTCAATTATAACTACAAATTTCTTCAGAGATGGTTCAGCTGCATTTGAACTTATTAAATTGCAATTATCCTGAAAAGAATTTACCATAGTTTGATGAGTTTGGCTACTCAGTAAGTGACCATCATTATCCTTAAAAATAATCATAATCGACAAACGTAGATATTTTCTAAAAGAATGCATATTGAGTAGAATTTCGACGTACACTCTAATATGTGCTATTAGACAAATTCATTTCTGACCGTACACATATCTTGTATTCCTTTTTAGACAAAGCAAATAAGCATGATACATAAACCATATGCACACGATTCATATCAAGATCAACATTAAGTATCAAATATAATCAAACAAGTATTCACAGTCACAGAAATCCTACAGTAAGCATTCACAACAACAGAAGTTCTACAGTAGAAGCACTAACCTCGGGTCCGAGGTTAGAACTTCTACCATTCCACAAGGAGAAACACCACTAACAGGTAAGTCCGTTGTGTAGTGCCTCACACGCGCACACATCCCCAGTGCGCTTTGGGGCTTTTGATAGGCAATGGCCTTGCAAGACACTGGTCCCTACGCCACCTTGGCTAGGAGCTTGCACCGTCAGGGTGCCAAACACATTCTAAAACTACTAGTAAATGATGCTTGAGAGTTACTTGCTCTACTGGTACCAAACTCATGCTTGAGAGTAACTTGCTCTACTGGTACCAAACTCCTTTTAATTGCATAATCCATCCCTTGACTTCTAATGGATCCGCAATACCCTTAAAGGAAGGTGGGTTCAATTTCTTAAATTGTTCAATGCCACATCCACCATTTCTTGCAACTGACTGTCTTGGTGGATTGTTGTTCTCCATTTAATGCTGCATAAAGGCAACCATATTTCCCAAAGCTCTATGGTTACATACAATAAGCACAACTTAGAGTATATTCTTCTTCAAGTTTCCTAGGAATCCTAAACCTATTGCACTGATACCATTTTGTTACACCCCGAGTAGGATTTCATCTAGGTATACCTTATCTAGTTTTCCAGTTGGACCATTAGGATATTTAGAAAATCTGTGGGGTGAGAAAGATTAAATATCAGCCATCCATCCTAAAAATCAATCATCATGATTTTTGGTGAAAATTACGAACCTGTCCCCTTTATAATTTGACCTAAGTCCAACTTCTATCTAAAATGTAAATTAGAACTACTTTTAGTACAATCTACATCTTCCAAAACCTGCAAGAAGTCCAAAGATAATCATTTGTTTCAAAATTCCCACTTGAAAAGGGAACAAATCCATTTCAATCGAAAATAATCCCTAACTAAACTTTTAAGTAAACGTGGAAGAGTAAAATAAATGAGGTGTGCCACCTTATGGGTATTATGTGGGCCCCACAAGCCCACACTTTCCACACATGAGTGGCACACATGTGGGGGCTGGATCTTTGGTCCCCACATGTGCCCTTCCAAGTTCTTAAATTTTCAAAATTACCCTTTTAGTGAATTTTACAATAGAAAAGATCGCAAAAATTCTGAAAAAAAAAATTGTAAAAATCATAAAAACATTTTTAATACCAAAATAAAATATTTTAAAAATTGGTACGAATAGGTCAAAATTAGCAACAATACGGGCACTACACTTAACTCAAAAACCATGATCCACTGTTGTTTTTTATCCAACCCAACAAAGGCCCATAACCCATAGTCTCAATGCAGAGGCTCATGATTGGTTTGTCAAAGTTGGACAATAAACAATGGAGACCATAACCGTAGAATGTGGATTTCAGTCTCCCCTTTAAGAGCAAGTCCAGCACTTGTCACCACCGAACAAAGGGGGTTCTCTCTATGCACATGTACACATGTCCCTCCATACAACTGCTTCCCAATAATGCTGTTGTCATATGTACATGCCGTACGAAAGTTTGTTGAGGATTTGGCCCTTGCTTTTGTAAGCCAATAACCGCACACAGGAAACCACATAGTTCTCCTGACTTACAAACATCATCCCTGAGCATCTCTCCGACCTCAACGAGAGATGACCTATTCTAAACTCTTCTCGATAGTGCCATATGCCTAGGGAGAAGAGTTTTGGACATAAATATTTCCTCTCCCTTCCGCAACTATGCTCTCAGGGTTAGGTGTAAAAAAAGCATCAACGTGCCCTTTCATACGAGGCTTATTAGACCTAAAACCCCTCTTACAAACTAGAAAGATTGCCACGTAGCGCACCTCCTCTTCCTCTTCGTCATCCTCAACATCATCAAAAGTATTAACTCCTCTCCTTTGTTAATTTTTCTTTTTTGCTTTTTAGCATTTATGTACTCAATAATCTCTTTCTTTCCAAGTTTGAGAACATTTTTACATAGGGCAACATCCCCTCTAATATGGGTAAAATGATTCTTAAACCTATTTATCTTTCTTGACCCTATTTATCTTGCCATTTGAAACATGACCATAAAAAGTGTAAATTATTTTGTTCTTTGTCATTTATCCGAGTTAACATGATACTTCCATCCCACATCCCCACTCCTATTAGACCGCAAGGAACACATCTCGAATCCAAACAAGGAATCTCAAATATCGATTGTATACTAAACCTTTTGTTCAATCTCTGTTCTTCGACGTTTTTGAAGTCGATGGAGCTAGAACTGACCCCACAAGTCTTCTAATACTTCACTTGCACCCTAAGCAAAATTCCAAAAAGAAAGGGTAAGCTTTTGGATGCTTCTTCAAACCTCATAATGGCTTTTTTTATTCAAAAAAATTTGCAAAATTAATCGATTTTAGGTGTTTCTGGGGTATAGATTTACGTTAATCATTTGGGGGGTTTAGAACACACCCCAAACACCCTTTTTACACTATTTCCTAGATCATAAAGACCCAAACTTCCCTAAGGGGTTTCTTTATTTCAAAAAAGACTGGGCACTAGGTGCCCATCTAGGAACTGGTGTCCAGGGAGGGCCGCCCAGGCTTAAGGCCCTTTGGGCGCCTAGGCACTGGGCAACCAGTCTTTTGAAACACCACAAGGAGTATCAAGAAAAAGAAAGAAGCGTAGTGTTTTTCCATTCAAAACTCAACAGGGCATACGATTAATTACATATCATGAAGTCAACAAGGCAACTCCCCAAAAAACTTCTGTAATGTGCATATTAGTTAGTAGAGTTCGGCTCACTTCAAGTAAATATTGATCTTTCCTTTCAGCAACCCTATTCTATTGAGGAGTATGTGCACATGAAGTTTGATGTAAAATTCCATTTTGGGCAAATAATCTTGAAATTCGTTGGGAAGATACTCTTGAACATTTTTAATATGCAAAACAAACACATTCTTTTTGAATTGGGTTTGAATCTCCTTGTGAAACAATTTTAAAGTGGAGCAAATCTGAGATCTCACCTTTATTAAATATAACCATGTCATTCCTGAATAATCATAGACGAAAGTTCTAAAACATCTATGACCGGACTTTAGAAGGACCTCAAATATCATTATAAACAATTAATAGCAAAGGTCTCCATTAGTCAATCCTAGGATGAAATGACACCCTATGATGGTTGCCTAATTGGCTAGCCTCGTACTCAAATGTAGACACAAACTCTAAAGAAGGAACTAACAACTAAGAGAGGATGGCCCAGCCAATAATGCCATAAAAAGGGAGAAGCAGCAGAGTGAAGAGTAGCACCAACCAAGTTAAATTGAAATAATATAGGCCATCTGACTCATACCAAGCCACTTGTCGTCCTCGTCCTTGGATCCTGTCCAGACACAAGAAGCATAAAAGGTTACCGCACAGTAAAGAGATTAGGTTATTTTAGTTACAGACAACAAACTGAAAGGAAATCTAGGAAAACATAGCACAGAGGATAGAGGAAAGGAATGAGTAGGCATAACTTTACCCTGTCCAGACATACTAGACAGTGATCAAAAAGACATACTAGACAGTGATCCATCAGCCAAAGCAACAAAGGAATTCGGATTACACTTACCTAAAGATACAAAAACCGAGGGCTCACCAGTCGTGGTTGAAGCTCCTAAAGTACCTAAGTTAGCAAGGGTCGAAGTGGAAGTGGTAGGGTGGACAGCAAGTTATTGTATTTGTTTAACAAGCTCATTATATTCCTCTGTTGATAGCACCATGGAGACACCAACAGAATCTGACTATTATGGATTATCACTAGATCCATTCAGATAAACATCATCACTCTCAAATGTATGATTAACGTGATTTGCCCAAGCAGGCTTACCAACCTTGTCCCAGCACTTATCAATCTTATGATTTGTACGCTCCACAATACTTTACACATTGAGTTCCATAACCCCTGCCGCCATCACCTCTACCACAACCTCTTCCTGAGTCACGACCACATCCCCGACCTATGCCTTCATCAGCTCTCCCTACAAACGTATGCAATGTCGATCCATTGTTAACACTGAAGTCAAAAGAAGGCATATATGAGGTGATAATATATTAACATGTTGAATGCGTGCATGCACATTGTTGACAAACTGTAGCTCACTGCTTGCCAGAATCTATCCACATACAGTATGGTACTCTGGATTAAGACTTGATAAAAATTTGGCGACTCTAAGTTCTTTATACTGCTTCCATCATAATTCAACATCACTAGATATAGGCTGATGCAGATTCAATCCTTCCTTCCTACACACCTCGATGGGTTTTGTGGCCTTTAAAGGCCTAGAGAGCTTGTAAAAATGAAATCTTATAGTGGAATATGCACTTCAGTGGGAGTATGTGTGTTGACTAACTATGGATTGGGAGTTTATGGCTTTGGTTAAATCCAAAACCCTTATCCCTCGGCAAGGAGGGATAAGGGGCACTACCGAGTAGGGTTTACAGTGGGGCTTCCCTTGTTGAAGTCAAAGAGATGCACAAGGATGGTGTTTACAAGCCAGAAGAATTGTATGGTCTCCCGTGCGCGGTTGTAGACCTGTGAACGTAAAGACCAAAGCCTCAACAAACTTCTACACAACATGTATACATGACAGCCTCATTACTGGAAAGCAGCCGTATAAAGGGACATGTAGACATGTGCATAGATGAGAAACCTTTTGCACTATGGTGACAAGTGCTAGACTTGCTCTTAAAAGAAGTGATTGAAATCCACATTCCACGATCATGGTTCATTTGTTTATTATCCAATTTTGACAAGCCAATCATGAACCTCTGCATTCAAGCTATGCGTCATGGGTCTTTGTTGGGTTGGATAAAAAAACAATAGTGGATCATAGTTCTTGAGTAAAATGGAGTAGCTGTATTGTCGCTAATTTTGACACATTGCTACTGGTCCACTTCTAAAATATGTTATTTTGGTATTAGAAATGATTTTTTGCGCCATCAACCTCATCAGCAGCAGAAACTCCTTAGGCTCACTCAGCTCATTCGTAGGGGGGCAAGAGAGCTACTATATGGTCTTTTTTTCTAGAAATGTCGAAGGAATAGAAGACCCCCAGCACCTCAACTCACTGACTATAATTTTTATAAAGTTTTCAGAATTTTAAATTTTATTTCTGCTGTAAATTCATTAAAAAGGGCATTTCTAAAATTTTCATAACTTGGAAGGACACATGTGGGTACCAAGTATTCAGCCCCCACACGTGTGTTCCACACATGTGTGGGACATATGGCCTTGTGGGGCCCACATAATCCCTTGGGGTAGCACGCCCCATGTTTTTTAAATATGCCATCTTTTAGTTGAATAGAAAATTTTTTAATTTTAAAATAGATTTGATTTCCTATTCAAGTGGAAGTTCTAAAATAGAAAATTTATCTTTGACTTCCTATAAATTTTGGAAGATCTAGGTAAATTAAAAGTGGTTATAATTTGAATTTAAATAGAAGTTCGCCTTACGTCAAATTATAAGGGAAACATCGTCGTCGTCATCATCATCATCATCATAGTCTTTTCCCAATTAATTGGGGTCAACTACACAAATCCCGGTCCATCATCCTGCTCTATCAAGGGTTATCCCCTCAGTGAGGTCAAAAGTCCCTATATCTTTTCTCACTACTTCCAACCATGTCCTTTTGCGCTTACCCCTTGCCCTTATTTAGCCTTCCACTTGAACTAATTTGCACCTCCTAACCAGTGCTCTATGGGGTCTGCGTCACACATGGCTAACCCACTAAGTCTACTCTCTCTCATCTTATTGCTTATTGGTACCACATCTAAATTCTCCTGAATTGATCATTTCAAATTTTATCTCTTCTTGTATTGCCACTTATCCATCTCAACATCCTCATCTCCGCGACACTTATTTTATAGGTATATTGTTTTTGACCGGCCAACATTCCGCCCCATAGAGCAAAGATGGTCTCACATCTGTCCTATAGAATTTTTCCTTCAGCTTCATTGATATGCAGCAATCACATAAAATTCGGTTGCACATCTTCACTTCGTCCACCCAGCTCTAATTCTGTGTGCAACACTTCCTCAATCTCTCCATTTTCCTGGATTATCAATCCCAGATATCGAAAGTGCAGCCTTTTTGGAATTTTCAGGCCGTCAATCTTAACTACTTCCTAGTCCCTACTCATATTATTATTAAACTTGCATTCCATATACTTTATCTTAATCTGGCTAATTTTAAAACTTTTAGATTTTAGAGCATTCCTCCAAAGTTCTAACTTTATGTTGATGTCGTTTCAGGCCTCATTGATTAAAACTATGTCATTTGCAAACAACATGCACCACGGTACCTCATCCAATATGTGCCTAGTCAAGTCATCCATAGCTAAGAGTAGAAGACAATGAGGTATGGGCTCAATGCTCACCCCTGATGTAGACCTATTGTCACTGAAAACTCCCTCGTCTCTCCACTAGTTGTTCAATAAAAGTCAGCACTCCATCGTACATATCTCTCACCAAGTTGATGTAGTGTCTAGAGCCTCATTTCTTTTCTAACACACACCAAATCAAATCTCGAGGTACTCTATCATAAGCTTTCTCTAGATCAATAAAGACCATGTGAAGGTCCTTCTCAATCAGTTGTCTAAGTGGAATAATGAACTCCAGTGAGAGTATCGTTCAGAGGGATCGAAGTCAACAATATTGATGCTACGACTCAAACTAGGCTTGATGAGCTAGGCCAAGTTGAGTTCTAAAACCTTATGATACCTAAGCATATAGCACAACCGAGAAGGGTTAGCAAGGTCACCCTTTGATGAAGTCGGAGTGATGCCCAGGGTAGATGGCCAACGAACTTCGTGACCCTTATGTGTGATTGGTAGGCCAAAAGGGACAAGGGCAAAATCCTCATCATTATTGGAGTTATGACATTTCAAGTTCTTGTAACACCGACATATTATAGCTCTTGATAACAGTGGACGTGAAAAGAGTAACACGACTCAAGGATCTTGACGCATTGGGACCAAGAGTCATGGAAACCCTAAGACAGTCATGAGGAGGATTGGTATATAAGAGAGGCACTGAGAGGTTTTAAGGTTGCCTCTAATCAAGGTCGGTTATTATTATTGTTATTGAGCTCGATTGGGCCTCATAACTGAATCATTGGACCAGGGCGATGTAGTTTTATGTGTAAGATGATTTGAGCTCAATGATTAGCGCTGTATGGAAATGTTAGGGTCACAGAGGGTATTAGCCTAAATCCAACTGTTAGAACCTTCTCATAGCATGTGCAATAATAGTTGCAAATCATGGGAAGCATGGGAAGCCGACTCTTCCAAGGATCCACTAAGTAGAGGTATGTACATGTGCTAAGAGACTAACCCCTACACCTTGTGTGTGCATGTCATCTAAGGGATGCACTTGAAATCCACTAGTACTTGAGGATCCAAGGTCACTCATTGGTTTGACTTTGATAGGCTAATATCATGAGCCCCTAATTATACATTGTGGGTGATGAGTCTGTTGGGTCATACTGAGAAGGTGGCTTTGGATTCCAAGTCTGACCAAGTAAGGTGCTCTAATTCCTAATTCAACATTATAGGATCCTAATTTACATTGAAAATATTTTTTGTACATAGTGAAATGGTTTATTTTGATGGAAAATTATTAAAATAATTTTTGTGGATTTTTAAGAATTTTTCTGAATTTTTTGAGCAAGAATAAGTGTTTTTCATAATTGATTTTGCAAAAAGACGATTAATGACAAACCCCCTAGGACCCACACAGGACACCCAAATGGCCAATGGGTGTCCAAGTGGGGCACTGGGAGCCTCCACATCAGCCCCACATGGAGATGACATGGGGGTGACATCATTCCCCATGGTGGCCCTCTAGATCATTATGTAATTTGTTATGTGGGGGTATGTTTTGTAATATTGGATTTTGTACAATTTTTCAAATAGAGAAAATTTATTTTGGCACATATTAAATGTAAAAAGCAAGTGGTTTGTACATTTGCGAGCTCTTTTAGAAAGGGCATAGGGTTTGTAATTACAAGCTAACCCTTAGGGTACGTGGCAATTGTGCATTTAACCACGTAACTTATGTGGCATGATTTGATTAGCCCCACATACTCTTATAAAATAGAGGGAAGTTTTGAATTTTTATTTTTGCTGGAATTTTGACAAAGTACCTCAAGGATAAGCCCTCCAACTTGATTTTTAGTTTAATTAAATGGAAGGAGCATGAGTATCGTAATACAATGGAAATTTTAGTGAATTGTGGTTATTAAAAGGAGGATAAGGGCGTTAAATCTATACCATATATCAAGATGGCATGATGGTGGGCGGTAGGTGGTAGGTTAGGATCAAGCCTCTCTTTGTAGCTAT